GGGGGTGTGAGGTGCGGGTCACGGGGTGCGGGGTACGCAGGGTTCCCAGGGTGCGCAGGGTGCGCAGGGTGCGCAGGGTGCGCAGGGTGCGCAGGGTGCGCAGGGTGCATGGTGCCATTGTCGTCAGCAGGGAGGGCCGGCAGCACCTCTGTGTTTTTGGCTCGGGCAGGATCAGAGAGTCAGCCGCGCCAGCACTGCTGCAATCGAACTCACCCACAAAGTTGCAAACGCCTGGCGCCCCCAGCCGGGGGTGCTCTACGCCCCGTCGGAACGCGGCTCGGGCGCCAGGGGCGACGGCCAGCCACCTGCAGCGGCACGTGCGGAAGCAGGCGGGTCGGCAGGCAGGCAGGCGTGCCAGCATCGCCGCGTCGAGTCGTGGCAGGACAGGGGGAAGTTTCAGAGTGCGAGTCCAACCGACCACGGCGCCTCCTGCACCCGCTGGCTGATCCCATAATCTGCCAGCCTTCCGAGGGCGGATGTGATTATCTTATTACCGACAGCCCGGCCCTCTGACACGCACTTGCTTCGCAGGGGCATGAGCCGGTCACGCAGCAGGGGTGCCAGGTGGTCTGAGTTGGTGTTCGGCCGCCCCATATCCCTGCGAAGTTCGTCAGGGGTGCCTAGTGAGGTGGGGGACTGCCGTGTGTGCAGGGCCACGCACCACCACTGTGGGACCTGTGCACAGGCTAGTGTTAGTGTCATCACAACCTCCCGACCTCGCCCCATATGCGGGGTGACACCAAGCGGGCATGTCCTAGCTGCGCGGACACAAATTGTTTGCGAGAAAAATGCCTGAGGGGGGGCATGCCCCTGCGCGCCCTTCCGAAGGGCTTGTGGTGCGGGTGAGTCACCCTTACCACAAGCGCCGCTTCCAACGACAATTCAATGCTTGCGGCCATTGTGCATGCGCGCCTGTTCAGCGTGCGGAAGAACAGCATGTTCTCATTGGTTTTCGTGCCACGCGTCATCGCGTGGAGCAGGCCCCATTTGCTGCTGGCGCCCACGCGCTTGGTTGAGGCGGCCTTGGCCGCGGAGCCCTTGCCGGCCTGGGTAGTTGGGGCCAAGATGCAGTGTCAGGGCGTGGGTGATGATCGTGCCTGAAGGGATGCAGGGCTGTCAGCAGGGCGCCGGGATGACAGGACGGCTCGATATCTAGATATAATCTATTTCGGCACAGGTGCGGCGTGCGGTGCCTTTGTTGCCGCTTGGGCGCGCCCTGAGCCCGCTGTCGCAGTCCTGTCGCACCGCGTTAGTGGCATGCGCCCCGTTGGCGACGCTGCGGCCTGGTGTAACGACCTCCGCCTCGACCTGCATGATTATTCAGGCCGCTTTTGTGCCGTGCACCGTGCCCAGTTGCGAGGAGGTCGTTTCGCTGAACTCCTGGCTGAACTTGCAGATCGATATCCGCGGCTGGTAAAGTTTCTTTCATGATAGAAACAATCTCACAATCTTCCACGCTCGGTATCATCAAGCCTAACCGAGGCTCGACTTTTATTGGCAGGTCCAAGCCGCCGGTCAACCCCCACAGGAACAAACCGGCAACCACCGGAAATGACGGTCAAGTTCATCAGGCTAGGTGGATGACCCTGCTACAGGGTCAAAAAGAGACTTTCTTGATGTACAGATGCAGATACCCATGCCAATGACCCGGCGTCATCGGCTCAGGCGCTCCAATCTCAGGCCGCCCGTCATGTGCTGCGCAGGCCATTCCACAGCCAAAGAAGCAGACAAACAGCACTGCAAGGGGGACGTGGTGATTTGACGCGCTGCGCGGAGGGACACATGTTTCTTGCCCGCAATGGCTGCTTGCCTTTTGGGAGACCCACAACAACCGAGGCACGTTGCACAAAGACAGTGTCAGTGGCCTTGGCGTCAGCATAAGCCACACACGGGCGGCATTCGTCATGCATCTGCGGCCCTTCACTACGCTTGCCACGTACGCATTTGCTGGGAACACTGACGTCGAGGTCATTTAACCGACATGTATGGCTCTGGTATCACGTAATGTTGCACAAGGGCTGCTGCTGCTGCACGAAGCCACCTGAGCTAGGCAGGTGATAAAAGTCTTACACATGCAGAGCTAAATTAGCTGGAAACATTTTCTCATAAAGCAGCTTCTGATATTCCTACATGCCAGGCACCGCCAGCGCAGCAGCTGCAGCGGCTGCAGGGAAGCAGCCCGCCACCCGACATTCGCCCAGCCCAGCCTAAAACACACCGGATCGCGCTTTGCATCCGCACATTCGTTTGTTTGCATCGCTTACGTTGAACTAGACATTTGCAGCATGGCTCGTTGGCAGCTCGTGCTGCTGTTTGGCCTTGTCCTTTCAGCCTCTCTGCACCGCGTGGCTTCAGAGGAGGCCGCTGATGCCGACGTCGACGTCGAGGACGCTCCGGCCTCCGGGGAGGCCGAGGACGAGGACTATGCGGACACGGAGCGGGCCCACTTGATCGTGCGCAAGTGGTTCAAGGAGGACCAGGCCGTGCAGGGCCGCAACTTGACCGTTAACCTGGAGGTCTACAACGCCGGAAACGCGTGAGCTGCCATGGGGGCCGCTGGGCAGGACTCACAGCGACCTCAACGAACCGGGCCAGATCACACCCATCCCCGATCGCTGCTCGCCCACAGGGCTGCCTCTGACGTGAAGCTTACCGACTCCAAGGCCCCCGAGGGCTTCACGATCGCCGATGGCCTCACTGACGCGTCCTTTGCCAAGATCGATGTCGGCAGCAAGGTGCAGCATTCGTACGTCCTCAGCGTCGCGACCGCCACGGACATGCAGGCGTTCGAGCCGGCCAGGGTGTCCTACGCCGCTGACGCTGACGGCGAGCAGCAGGTGCGGCGGCGTGGGCGGGTTGGGATGGGATGGCCCAGCCGCTGACCAGTCAACCGCTGCAGGCGTATGCGGCCTGTGCACGGACGCCTCGATGGCACCTGCGATCCTGGAGTTCAGACTGCACAGTGGCTGCCCCTCCCCAAAGCACGGCCAAACCCCGCACGCACGCAGTGTTTCCTTCTCTCGGTCGCTCGCCCGCCCACCAGCAAATGCTGCCGCCCTCACAGTGCACCGCTCCGCCTCCACCCACCTCCCACCCAACCCC